AAGAAGCAGGCCGAATGTCATCGAGGGACTAACACCAATCACGGTAGCGTGCGACTGACGACCCAGGGTAATTAGTCCTGGGTATGGCACGATGTCAGTGTTGCTCTTAACGAGAACTCCAAGCCCAGTGGTAAAGGCAACGAGCCCTTTAGGGAGCCCGCCGTCCAGAACAAGGCACTACATCTGTGCTGATACGACGCGACCTCCAAAGAGGACAGAATTCAAGAAGCAGGCAGAATGTCATCGAGGGACTAACACCAATCACGGTAGCGTGCGACTGGCGACCCAGGGTAATTAGTCCTAAAGATGGCACGATGTCAGTGTTGCTCTCAACGAGAACTCCAAGCCCATTGGTAAAAGCAACGAGCCCTTTACGGAGCCCGCCGTCCGGAACAAGGCACTACATCTGTGCTGGTACGACGCGACCTCCGAAGAGGGCAGAATTCAAGAAGCAGGCCGAATGTCATCGAGGGACTAACACCATACGGTTAGCGTGCCGACTGGCGACCAGGGTAATTAGTCTAGTATGGCACGATCGTTCAGTGTTTGCTCTTAACGAGAACTCCAAGCCATTGGTGAGGCAACGAGGCCCTTGTCGGAGCCCGCCTGTCACGGAATTTATGCACTACATCTGTGCTGAGACGACGGAGACGACGCGACCTCCAAGAGACAGAATTCAAGAAGCAGGCCGAATGTCATTCGAGGGACTAAACACCAATCACGGTAGCAGTGCGAAAGGCGGACCAGGGTAATGGGGAAGGGGGGAATTATCGTGTCAGTGTTGCTCTTAACGAGAACTCCAAGCCCATTGGTAAAAGCAACGAGCCATTTACGGAGCCCGCCGTCCGGAACAAGGCACTACATCTGCACTGATACGACGCGACCTCCAAAGGGAACAGAATTCAAGAAGCAGGTCGAATGTCATCGAGGGACTAACACCAATCACGGTAGCGTGCGACTGGCGACCCAGGGTAATTAGTCCTAGGTATGGCACGATGTCAGTGTTGCTCTTAACGAGAACTCCAAGCCCATTGGTAAAGGCAACGAGCCCTTTACGGAGCCCGCCGTCCGGAACAAGGCACTACATCTGTGCTGACACGACGCGACCTCCAAAGAGGACAGAATTCAAGAAGCAGGCTGAATGTCATCGAGTGACTAACACCAATCACGGTAGCGTGCGACTGGCGACCCAGGGTAATTAGTCCTAGGTATGGCACGATGTCAGTGTTGCTCTCAACGAGAACTCCAAGCCCAGTGATAGAAGCAACGGCCCTTACGGAGCCCGCCGGCGGAACAAGGCACGATGGGCGGAGCGTCGGCGCGACCTCCAAAGCGAACAAAACTCAAGAAGCAGGTCGAATGTCATCGAGGGACTAACACCAATCACGGTAGCGTGCGACTGGCGACCCAGGGTAATTAGTCCTAGGTATGGCACGATGTCAGTGTTGCTCTTAATGAGAACTCCAAGCACATTGGTAAAGGCAACGAGCCCTTGACAGAGCCCGCCGTCCGGAACAAGGCGCTCATTGCACTGATACGACGCGACTCCTCCTCTCCTCCTCTTCCCACGAACCAAATCCAAAAAAACAAAGTCGAAGCTCATCGAGGGACTAACAACCAATCACGGTAGCGTGCGACTGGCGACCCAGGGTAATTAGTCCTAGGTATGGCCACGATGCAGTGTTTGCTCTTAACGAGAAACTCCAAGCCCATGGAAAAGCAACGAGCCTTTACGGAGCCGCCGTCCGGAAAAATGCACTACAGTCTGCACTGATACGACGCGACCTCCAAAGAGGAAGAATTCAAGAAGCAGCTGAAGTTCATCGAGGACTAACACCAATCAACGGTTAGCGTGCGACTGGCGACCCAGGGTAATTAGTCCTAGGTATGGCACGATGTCAGTGTTGCTCTTAACGAGAACTCCAAGCCCATTGGTAAAGGCAACGAGCCCTGTACGGAGCCCGCCGTCCGGAACAAGGCACTACATCTGTGCTGATACGACGCGACCTCCAAAGAGGACAGAAATCAAGAAGCAGGCCGAATGTCATCGAGGGACTAACACCAATCACGCTAGCGTGCGACTGGCGACCCAGGGTAATTAGTCCTAGGTATGGCACGATGTCAGTGTTGCTCTTAACGAGAACTCCAAGCCCATTGGTAAAAGCAACGAGCCCTTTACGGAGCCCGCCGTCCGAAACAAGGCACTACATCTGCACTGATACGACGCGACCTCCACACAGGACAGAACTCAAGAAGCAGGCTGAATATCATCGAGGGACTAACACCAATCACGGTAGCGTGCGACTGGCGACCCAGGGTAATTAGTCCTAGGTATGGCACGATGTCAGTGTTGCTCTTAACGAGAACTCCAAGCCCAGTGGTAAAGGCAACGAGCCCTTTACGGAGCCCGCCGTCCGGAACAAGGCACTACATCTGTGCTGATACGACGCGACCTCCACAGAGGACAGAATTCAAGAAGCAGGCTGAATGTCATCGAGGGACTAACACCAATCACGGTAGCGTGCGACTGGCGACCCAGGGTAATTAGTCCTAGGTATGGCACGATGTCAGTGTTGCTCTCAACGAGAACTCCAAGCCCATTGGTAGAAGCAACGAGCCCTTAACGGAGCCCGCCGTCTGGAACAAGGCACTACATCTGCACTGATACGACGCGACCTTCAAAGCGAACGAAATTCACGAAGCAGGCCGAATGTCATCGAGGGACTAACACCAATCACGGTAGCGTGCGACTGGCGACCCAGGGTAATTAGTCCTAGGTATGGCACGATGTCAGTGTTGCTCTTAACGAGAACTCCAAGCCCATTGGTGAAGGCAACGAGCCCTTTAGGGAGCCCGCCGTCCGGAACAAGGCACTACATCTGTGCTGATACGACGCGACCTCCAAAGCGAACCAAATTCAAGAAGCAGGTCGAATGTCATCGAGGGACTAACACCAATCACGGTAGCGTGCGACTGGCGACCCAGGGTAATTAGTCCTAAAGATGGCAAGATGTCAGTGTTGCTCTCAACGAGAACTCCAAGCCCACTGGTAAAAGCCAACGACCCCTTTAGGGAGCCCGCCGTCCGGAACAAGGCACTACATTGGCACGGGCGCTCGGCCGCTAACCTTTACAGACGTCAAACCCCTCCAAAAAGCAAATCAACATGAAAAGCGAAACCCATGGAAAATGCAAAAGCTGCCTTTCGCAAACCCTCCCAAAATGTTAACATCGCTTGCGCAGCAAATTGCGATAATCTCGAAAGACGGCGGCCGCGTGCAAACATCAAGTTCGGACCCAGGTCCTGAAAACCAATGGTTTCCCGAAGCCCCCCTGCCTCCCCCCAAGGGCCCCGGTTCAACCCAGAGCGCTCGTGCATCCCGATTTCGGGGGGTGGCGGACGTGCTGGCGCTGGCCTTCAAGACAAATGTGGCAAACGAGCCACCCCTAGCACCCGGGCGGGCTGCTCCCTCCGAGCTGGCCCCGAGCGCCCAAGGGGACGTCCACCGAGAAGGGGAGTCAGGAGTCAGGAGTCATCAAGAAGGCGCGGGTCTGAGGTCCACGGAGGGCCTCGCGCGGCCCGAGCCCCTCGGCCGCCCGCACGGGCGGAGCGAAGCCACGACCGTCTCCCGCCCACAGGGGGACGTGGCGGGAGATCCCGTCGGGCGGACGCCCAGCGGCCGAGCCGCGCGCGAAGCGGGGCCGCGGCCGCGGGCCGTGGCGGGCGGGTCGAGCGCGAGGGTCCGCCCCGCGTCGCCGCTGCCGCCGCCGCCGCCTCCGCCGCCGCCTCCGCCGCCGCCGTCGCCGCCGCCGCCGAGCCCCGCCGCCGCCGCCGCCGTCGTCGTCGTCGTCGTCGTCGGATCTTGACGTCGTGGTCGTCCTCTTCGTCGTCGTAATTGTTATCGTCGCCGTCGCCGCCGCTTTCGTCGTCGCCGTCGTCGCGTCGTCGCCGTTGCCGCCGTCGCCAAAGACGACGCCGACGGCGATGGCGGCGGCGGCGGCCGCCACCGCGCGAACCGTCCAGCCCTGGGCGGCCCCTGCTGCGGGGGGCCCCCAAGGGTCGTCGGCCCCGCCTCTCGAGTGGACCTCGCGCCGCGGGCCGCCTTCTACAGGCCCCGGGCACAACGTCGGCGTCAAAGAGCACTCTCAATGGCGTTGCTCTCGGTGTTTCGGACCGGAGAATTACGATGGCACCATTTTCAAGAAACCTCCAAAGGCCAAGGTAGACATAACAGGCTGATTGGTAAATGATCCACACACGCTGCAGTTTCATAGTAAGCTCCGCCTCTGGTATTGCATAGGATGTGGCTGCTATGCTAACCAACAGCTCCGTGAACCAGGCAAGGTGTGCACGCTTACGATCACACAACATAGATCTGGGCACGTGGACAGGATCTCGAGAGGTGCACGGCCAAATGATTTAAATGCTACAGAGAAGCACGCACGAGGCATCTTACTGTAACTCATGCTATACATTTGGCAGGCGAAGCTTGCGCGATACCGAATATTGTCGCTCTAACCGCTTGCCTGTGGCCAGCGACTTTAGAGCGATACCGAATGTTGTCCCTCTAACTGCTTGCTGCCGCTGATTAATTGATTTAGTGTAACTCACGCTTCGCACCAAGTCTTGACATACTCATGCAGTCACGCTCATGCTCATGCTCCCCTCCCCCCGTCCGCCCTCCCTCCGCCCTCCCTCTCGCCCCCTCCCCCCTCCGCCCTCCCTCCGCCTCCCCTCCCTCCGCCCCCCCTCCCTGGCCGGCTCCGGGGGCGTATTATTCTTTCCCCGATCGCATCTCGGAGCCCATCCGCCAGCGTACTGGCCAACGCAATGTCAGCTCATTGCTACCTGGAACTGGGGTTCAATGTCAGAACATTGCTCTCTGAAGTGCGGGCACGGGCGCCCGCCAAAAAGTCAAGCCGAACGCGGGCCCCCTCGCCTCACGGCTACCCTTGCAGGCAGAGCCCCCCCGCCTGTTCGAAGTTTCCCCGCGCCACAGCTCATGGGTTGTGTTTCTTGTCAGCCCCCTTTTTAGGTTTTGCAGCCGCCGGGGGGGCCGCGGCCGCGGGGGCGGCCGCGACCGAGGGCGCAGCCGCGGACGCTGCCTCGCCGGCGGCGCCCTTCTTGGCCTTCTTGCTCGCCGACTCGAGCCGCTCCTGCAAGGATGGGCTGATGGCGTGCCACTTGCGCTTCTTCAAGCCGCCCAGGATCCTCTGAACCAGGTCGTGGCGGACTTCCCCGGGGCCTAGCGGCCGCACCGTGCTCTGCGCAAGCGTGAAGTCCGCCAGAACAGATCCCGCCGCCTTCAGCTGCGGGGACTCCTCCTTGAAAGCGTCCGCGACTTCCTCCTGCGTGCGCTGCAGAAGGATGCCGTCGAACATCTTGTATGTGTTGAGCCAGCCAGCAACGTAGGAGAAGTCGGCTTCCTTCTCGAGCACCCGCACCTGCTTCATAGCCTCGTGGAGGTTGGTGACGCACTCGTGCTCGAGGGCCTTCTTCACCTCGGATACGTCAATCTCTGCGGCCCCCAAACGCTTCACCAAGGCCTGGCAGTCTGGGTCCTCCAGCGCCTTACTCACGCGGTCCACCGCCTCCCTGCAAGACTCCGCCTGCTTAGCCAGCCAGGTCTCCAGCGCCCCGCGGCACGCCGTCTCGACGTGTCCCTGCACCTTGCCGACGTGCGCCGCCAAACCGCCGAACTGCGGGACGACGTCGGCGCGCAGGACCTCTGAGGCTGCGTGAATGGCCGCCAAGGCGTTCCGAAGGGGAGCTAGCTGGGAGAAGCCCGCCGTCAGGAGGCCCTGGTGGAAGGTCCGCGCCGCGCGGCATGCCTTGTAAAGCTGGGGGCTGGCGCAGCAAACGGGGAATGCCACTGCCCCGTCGCCCACCGTAATGTCTGCGGACATGCCGGCGAAGGAGGCGCACTGGACTGCAAAGGCTGCCACCTTGCCGAGCTGGTCCGAATCCTGCGCGTCCTCGTCGCTGGCCGCCTTCACCAAAGCTTTCGGCACCGCCGCGTCGACGAGCGACGTGGTGATCGAGGCGACGTCTACGTCCTCCACACTCTTCGACATCGCCGTAACGAAGCCAGAAATCGTCGAGAGGCCGCTGGTGAGACGGGCGCGCACCCCCTCGACAACTTTAGCCACCACTGCTTGCTGGAAGGCATTGAACTCCGTCGCCCCAGCAAGCCACTCGGCAAGGAGCGTCAAGGCGGCGAGGAACTTCTTCCCTTTGCCGTCCAAGATGTCAACGTTGTTCTGGGAGAGGTTCTGCAGCCAGGGGACGCCCGCCTTCAAGTCAGCTGCGGCCGCATCGAACTTAGCCACGTCCTCCTCGTACGCCTTGGCGGCCTCGGTGCCGCCAATGCCTGCCAGGAAAGCCATGTCCTTCGCTGGGACGCACGTCAGGCCGCCGATGGCCTCCTCCACTCGGGTCACGTCTCCCTCCTCGCCAAAAGCATTGTTGAAGATCGGGGTGGCGACTTTCGCCGCCGCCGCGGCCCGGCTATCCCTGACGGCCTTGGACGCTTCCCTTGCCGAAACGACGAACCTGCCGAGCAACTGTTCGACCCGGGCAAGGTCGCCCTTCGAGACCTTGGTGAAAACCGAGGAGCAAGTAGACGTGATGCCCGTGAACTTCTTGTATGCGTCCGCGATGTCCGAATGATGCGGCAGCTTCACGCCCGATGGGGTTGACTGGCCATTCACCTTCGTCACCACCGTGAAACTGGCGACGTTGGCGGCCGCCGTTGCCAAAGCATCGACCTCGGGCCACACAGCAGTGGCCAGGCGGACGAAAAATCAAGCTTGGGGGGGGGCGTTTCCCTGCGAAGCCCGCGTCGGGGCATGACGGCCGCCAAAACGGCCCCTGGCGATTTCCGACCCCAGGGGTTCTCGAATATCAATAAATGGGGACCTTCGCAACCAACTCTTGCAAGATCACGCTGTTCGCCTTGTCGGCGTGCCTGCGCTCGAAAACCTTCTCCGCCTCGACTCGCGCGGCCATGCCAGTACTGTACAAGGTGACCGCCTTGTAGAAGGCACCCTGTTTGTTCGCAACTAGCCCGTCCCGCGCCACCTCAGCCCGCGTCAACAACTCGCCGTCCTCGAGGGCGGGGGCGCGCAGCAGCAGGGTGAACTTCTCGAGGTCGTCCTTGAAGGCAGCGTCCAGGATGAAAGGGTTCTCCCCGACCTCCGTAGCCACAGGCACTTTGGAGAGCAGGGCCCCCATGCCAGCCATGGCGTCCGCCACCTTCGTGCATTCCGTCGGTTTCGTCTTGTCCGGCTCCACCTTGGCGAAGCCCAAGACATACTCCAGCAAGAGTCTCTTCTGCAGGGCCGCCCGGTCGTCGAGCGCGACGATCGGAAGGCCGTGGTCGTTCGAGGACGTTGGATTAAGAATGTCCACGAGGCGGTCCCAGTCTTTCTCCTGGCCCGCCGCCTTGGCCGCGCGCGTCACCACCACTTCCAGGATGTAGTCCGTCACGTCCACCTTTGCTTCTTTCACCTTCGTGTACTCTGACATCAGCATCTCTGCCGAGACAAGCTCGCCCTGCGTGGCCTGCAAGCTGG